TAATAATAAAAGGTTACAACACACGCACAATCTATAATTAGAACAGATTCCAAGCGCTTCGATCCATCCATGAGTAAGCCAAAAAACGACGCGACGAGCAACGGCGTCCAACTAGTGGCATACAGTAAAAGAGTACCCTTATCTGCGGTAAAACAGCAGTACAACAGTCGAAGTCAAGGCATTTAATAGGTATCAGACAGAAACAGCTTCAAAAGGCAGAAATAAAATCTTGAAAGCAACCAAATGAGAATAGCACGACGATTCCAGCAGGTGAGTAGTCGTAAGCGTTTCGACATCAGGAAGGACACACAGTTATAACTATGGGGGGTTCCGTGCATAGATGCGATTATTGAAACGTGAATGACAAAACTGCGAATTGGCAGTAGGGCTTGGCAGGGTTTTAAAGGTTAACTTTCGACATCGTATGTACATTAACAATACCTATGTGAATTCTCTTTTTTTTTCTGAAAATAATTTGGGACAGTATCTAAGAAAGTATGTACAGGAATGAGTAGAGTAACTGTAAAAGTAAATGCGAATGCTAATTATGTACAGTGGCATATCGCTCAAGCTCGCCGTATAAAAAGTTTGTAGCCAGCACTTGCACCAAAGAAAGGTGGGAGGCATGGATAGGCGGTGGGGCTAAATGTCGTAGCGCAAGTCCGTGTTTGGGAAAAAGATAATCAGCGCGGTCTGCCTGTAGCCAGCCTCTTCAAGGCTGGAGGTGCAGAAACATTTGCAAAAACAAACTTTTCCTTCGAAGAATTTGAAGGGGCGCACTGTTCATTCTTTTTAGGACGGTTTCGTCCAAGGCTTGCACTGTGGTCATCGCTCTTAGCCGGAGAGCTAGAACTGGTTCGCACGGAAGATTTTATGGGGAACCAAGCATTTCCGCCTCGTTGAGACTGACCAGAGTCGGAGGCAGACTGCTTTTCGCTCACAGCCAAGCTGGTGCTGGACGTACTTTGTCCCAGCCGTCCGCCAGTAGTCGGATCTCTCAACTGCGAACACTTGCGCTTTAAGCTACAACCAGTGAACTGCGAGTCCATGTTAGCGGTTCCACCTGATTGCTCCTTAAGGGCTTCTGAGTCCTCGGTACTGGGATTGCATGCATTACTTCCTCGCCTTAAAGGACGGCGACGTCGCCGTGGACACCTGACTTTGGAACTAAGGTTCGAGTTGGACTCAGACTTTTTGTGTTCTTCGGCCTCTGTGGGATAGGCGATATCGTAAGACTCGTTGTTGCTGCCAGAGGGTGAGTCAGCAAACGTTGGAGATGTTGACTGATCTACCGAATCCTCGTGACTGACAGAGCTGGCGTCACTGCAGGACATGTTCTGATCAGATGAAACCAAGCGCAAGGGAGCAAGACGGTATTCCAAGCCTGCACAATTGGTAGCGGCCGACGAAGACCTGAAACTTCTATGGTGGGAAAAATGTGCTTAGACACAAGTCAGGCAATGCCAATTGAAAACATAACCAACTAACGAGGCTGGGAAAATTGTGGACGCGAGCTATGTCAACCACGTGGAAAAGATTAAACAGCAACACTTAACTTTCACCTTCAAAGAAACGCAGAGCGTAAAAACGGGTTCTAATAATTTTCCAAGCACACTGCTCATTAGAAAAGTTTGTGACGTTTTGGTCCGTTAATGAAGTCTGTGATTCGACCAGTGAAAAATATGACAAAAATAAAGAATTCGTAACTTGACTTGAGTGTAAATGTATCAGTAGCTTTGATCGAAAATATAGTCTTACTTGTTCCGGTCAGCCGATTGCTGTTGGACATCGCTTTTCTTTTGACGATCCTCAGAACTGGTAGAGTCGTGTTCTTTTTGCACTTCGCACGAACTGCTTACCGCGCTTCCGACCTCTTGGGCGGAGTTATCATCCGAGCTAACGTCAGATGCTTTGGAAGACATGAGAGATTCAGAATCCGGTGGGACGGGTTGAGTGCTATACAGAGGGAATGCATGACCTTGCATCGGAGGGAAGGCTGGGGGCCATAAAATAAACACAGGAGGTTCGACACTCGGTGTAGCGGGAATGGGAGTAGGAAGGGACACCAGGGGTCTTGTGTTGGGGTCATACACTACGGTAGGTTGAGGGAATAAGTAGGGGGACATTGGGTTAGAAAGCCTCAGTACATCCTTCGAGCAAGGTGTTCTTAGAAGCGGTGGTTGACTGGCAAAACCCCGCGCGGAGACGACGATGCGTTCTTTAGTGGAAGCCGAGGAAGTTGTCTGGTCACCCGGAGCACATATAACAGATCCGCTGTTTTGGGAGGAGGCAACGGACACACTGACGGCCGCATTTGAAGCAGGTTGGGAAATCGGTTGATTAGCCTTTGCTGAATGAGCGAATGGGACGATGATGTATGGCAAGATGGAATAAACATGCTGGGCGTGTATCCGTACACGTAGGCGACTTTCCTCCGTCGTCTACAATCAAGCAATATGTATAAGCTCTACGGCTACTGAAACACTAGTGAATGGCAAAAACAACTGAGACTGAACTTACATGGGATATTCGGATTATGCGAGCAAGGATCGAGTCTCCACGACTTCCATTAGAAGTAGGCTGGGAAAGAACTGCGCATTTTAGCACAGTGAAGGCGTACCCAAAGGCTTTCTTTACCTGTAGTGCTCCATATGAGCGACGCCCGACATCATTACCTGCAGAATAATTATTACAACAGTCCGTAAGATACATTGAAAATGAACAGAGACAGTGTGTACACCAGCTGAATAACTTACCCGGACAAAGGGGGTCTTCGATACAAAGAATTGACGTAGCGGAACCAGGCTCCATGTTCTTTTGCACCTCCTCCTTCCGAACGTAAGCCCCACCATCGCTGACTCGAATGGCAGTAGTCATGTAGTTGAATTTTAAACCATACAGTTCGAATACTTCAATCAACAACGTTCCTAGGTTCAAATCCTCAATTTCAGTGTGCTTGGGTACGGAATTCTGAAAAAAAAACAGATAAATGAAGACATCCACTAAACAACTTTTACAGAAACATGGCAAAAGTTCTGTGAGGACAAATCCCTCGGAAGGTTACCTGAAGGAAGTTGATAGTCATCAGGATCAGGGCGTAAGAGCTTATTCCACCAGTCCAAACCTCATTTAAATCCCGTTGGAGAAGAAACTGTTTCAGAACAAAAACAAGGTGCTGCAAACAAGGATAGACACCCATGTAGTCGCGTATCATCTCTGCGGCACGGACGCTGTTGATCATGTTGAAGCTGATGTCAACATGCAAACCGGTGTCAACATCCGTTAATTTAACGATGGGGACAGTGGCCCTCGAAAGGACTCGTATTTCGGAAGCCACGCCGCTATTTCGGAGAGCATTTTCAAGGGTTCGAAGGGGTAGAGCCTCCCACTTTCCAAAAATGACCATGTC